ATACGAGCCTATCTGGCATGATTTGTGGGCACGTATACAGGTTGGCTTCCTACCGTCTTACACGATTGTCCTTGCTTTTCACTGCGGTACGTTCATGCTTTGTAAACCCGCGGTCTCACAACTCCAAGGCTCGTATTTGCCAGATAGATTGTCCTGTCAAACAACAGTCAGTCGTACGAGGCCGTTGTGGTGCCACGTCCACCACATATGGCCTGCGTCAGATGACCTAGTGCCAGCATTGGGCGCGGTGACGATCCTGCAAAGACAATAGGAACACAGCTAAAGACATGTGACACTAGCGACTCAGCGGAAAAATTGTAGGGGTAGCGGGATCGCCGGAGTTGGACAAGAGTTTGTTGTTCACTTTACTGATGGCGAGGGAAGTGTTCATGGGTAAAGGAGAGAGAAAAAATTGGGAAATGCATGGTTATCATATCATGAGTTCAGCCTGAGGGGCAAACGCCCCATCCATCAGTGGGTAGGCAAGCCCCTTCTTCCCAACCTACGAGTGTTCAGAATTTATGCAATTCAATGCCCGTCTCGCAAAATATAGCCAAACATGGAACGAAATGACTAACCCCAAATCTATACCAAAGTCAGTGTTATTTTCGGGGTTCCCATCGATCTGGTCATGATATGATACCCATACAACACTATGGAATCGTGGGGTTCGCATCGCGCTACTATAACCCCCCCTCAAAGCCTACCTATATCGGCCCACACAGACCAGGTAGATCGTGCCCTGGCACTTGTTAAAACAAGATTGGGAATGGGCGAAGGAATCACGAAGGAATCAAACTGACTAGTAGACTCCCTGGGTGCCTATCCAGGGCCAGAGGAGGGCTATTGGAAAGGTCGCAAAGGAGTGAGTCGTCGCAGAGCATGCGGGCTTATGGCCTTCTAGGACCAACGATTACCCGAAAATGTAAGACAATGTTGTGCCATACGGACTTTGATAGGCTTTTGATCATCCACGTATAGTACCAGCCGGAAAATTCATCTTCCGCACAAATTCAGTCCACGAACCAAGTTTCGCATCGTCGTTCGGTACGATAGTCAAGACTCATAATCATGCGATAGCGAGGCGAGCGACCGGTTCTTTCTTCCCTGGCTAACGCGAGGATTGGGACGACCGACATTGATCGTTCACTGGGAACATCATGAGGAGTGGAAATTTGAGCGTGTGGATGTTCGTCAGAAGACGTTGCTCCTCGGGTAGTAAGTGATGACAACCAAAATTTCTATTGGACACACCACTTATCATCAGACATAGGCGAAGTAGCCAAGATTTGCTGCCCAGGTGGACTTACGGCGTGGAGAGGGCGTCGGCTTTGCAGAACTCTTTCCGGAAGCTCATTTTTCATGAGCGAACACGCCCGTAGGACCATTCAGAGAAAGGGCAACACTCGACAGCTCACTGCCACCCCAAACTACGACCATTTGCCATCGGCACCACTTTGATGGATAGCATCAGCCGATCTGTGAGATGGCAGCACTAACGTGTCGTTTCCGCGGGAAATGCTATCTGCCGACCTGCCGCAAGTTCGTGCTTTTTTATCTTTTTCAGAGACAGCTGACATGGTCGTAGTTACGCATGAGACGATTGTTGAAGCCAGTCCCCAATGGTTTATGTGACAATGTCTACTGCCTTGCTCTCAACCGATTATCACGAACCTGCTACATCTCCATAATGAGCCAGCATCGGTTTCTGAACTCAAACTGTACGATCGAATACTGGAATATCTGAGCCGATATGTTGAATGGCCCGAACGTCATCAGTGATTAATCAACGCTGTATCATTTCGTTGTCAAACCATCGTCTCGGCGGATTCCATTGCGGAGAAAAGGCAATTAGAACTAGTTGCATTCAACCGCTTTCGACTATGGGTAGCATAGTATGTCGTTCGACATGCCAGCTTTGCTCTGATTGTATCCAAAGACATCTCAAGTTTTATATGTTCAGCTTGTCGAGTCATTAGCGCCGTAAAGAGGCGCTCTGGGTTCTGTCGGCATCCCGGCAACGCCGGAGCTGTTATTTGGCCAAAGATGCAATTGCACAAAGCTCATGAATCAATCAAATATAGTATGCAGATTCAACCCTGATAAAAAGATGCTTATATCACCGTGTTTACTACAAATTGGTCTCCGACCGCCTCACATCCCAACATTTCAAGATGGGCAGGCGGAACCCGACCGAAGATATGGAGGAATAACTCCTGGCATAGATGGCGGTGACGGTACAGTCTACAATGATGCCGTGCTCTCATCCTTGTGAATGCAATTAGTCAACCCAGTCGGAACATAGTTCCAGCTAGAGTCGTAGATCAATTCTAGTTTGAGCCTAGACGAGTCTCACGCCTACCAATTGGAAAGGCGACAGCGATCTGATAAGTGAGCCACCAACTAGCGGGCTCTAATCTCGGCATCAACGGAGCCCCCAGACGGTACCTCGCAGTAGCAGGAGGTCAAATTAATGCGCGGGAGTACCTGATAGTACTTGAGCTTGTTGATTTTGTGCGGCGCGCAGCTGACGTTGATGCTCGGGTTTAGCTTATCAGATCCGAGACTTTATTCCGTCTCGGAGATCGTCACCGGTATATATGGACGGAGAGGCCGGAAGGATGGTATATTGCATTGAAGACCACCTGGCATCATTCAATTCTCATTTTTCTGGAGTGCGTAAGAGACCCAACGAAAAAGCGCATTCATCTTCAGAAGATTGCGATTGCCAGCTATTTGTATAATCAATACCATCGGACTCAAGACGTCGTCATCAAGCGGATGCAACCATGGCGTCGAATTTAAGAAATGTTATTGTCGTAGGAGGTTCCTTTGTCGGATTGGTGAGTCTAAGCTCTAGATTCAATTCCATCCTATCGTCCGGGATTGTGCTGTGTTTGTTTGTGCTAACAATCTACCAAGGCCACCACAAAAAGCCTCGCAGAGATCTTACCATCTACACATCGTGTAAGTGGCAACACTTGAATCCGGGAGGCTCATTGCTAGTAATTGATGAATTCTGACGTTGGGGGGCACAGATCCTTCTCATCGAGCCCCATAGCCATTTCCACCATTTATTTGCCTTTGTAAGTCAACCACGATATGGAAAGGCCGGCATTGAACCTATCTTCCATTAGGTTGTGCTTGGTAGGTAGCTGATGCCACCATGAACACTACAGCCAAGATTCGCCATCTTACCTACACACGAGCACAAGGCCTTTATTCCCTATACAGGCACATTCGCCGAGAAGCCTAATCTCGATCGGCACCATGTTGTGCAGGCGCGCGTATCAGCCATGTACAGAGATCGCGTGGTCCTCGATCGGGATTGGCAAGGGCTGAAGGAGATCCCATTCGACTACCTGGTCGTGGCCACGGGCACGAAACTGCGAGCCCCGGGTAGCATGCAGGACGATGAGAAGCCGCTCTCGGTGAAGTATCTCCAGGGTTACCAGCGGCGTCTCAAGTCGGCCCAATCGATCGCCATCATCGGCGGTGGCGCCGTCGGCGTGCAGATGGCCACGGACTTGAAGGAGATCTATCCGGACAAGGAGATCACGCTGGTGCACTCCAGGATGCAGTTGATGCCGCTGTACCACGAGAAGCTGGACGAAATCATCAAGGTGCGATGCGAGGAACTAGGCGTGAAGTGCGTATATATGAACCAGATCAACTGCTCACAATTCTTGTTTTGTCTTCTATACAAGTCCAAATCTAACCGTAACTGCCTCACAGACTCGTACTCGGTTCCCGCGTCAACATCCCCGAAGACGAGTTCCAGCAGGACAACGGAAAGCCCATCACCGTGTCTCTGCAAAACGGCAACACCCTCCAAGCAGACGTCGTCATCCCAGCAACCGGACAGACGCCCAACACGCAGTTCCTCTCAGCCCTAGCCCCCTCGTCAGAAGAGTCCCTGATCAACCCGGCCAACGGCTTCATCCGCGTGAAGCCGACGCTCCAGTTCCAGGACCCCGCGTACCCGAACCTATACGCCGTATGTATATCTCGCTGAAGTCATTAATTCCCCTTTATGGCAACTCTCGGGGGGCATGAATTCCCCGAACGGGCATCTGTACTCCCGAGACGCCTGCAAATACCCTCTTCACGAGTAAATTTCTTTACTATAAGAGACAATCACTGACTCCAGCGGCATAGGTCGGAGACGTCGCCGACAGCGGAGCGCACAAGGCAGCCAGGCCCGGCGGCGCGCAGGCACAGGTCACGGCGAGCAACATCCTAGCCATGATCGAAGGCCGCGAGCCTTCTGAGAAACTGCAGGTGACGCCGCCAGGCATTCACCTATCTCTAGGATTGGTAAGTCGTCATCGCGGAACCCGCTCGAAAGAATTGTTTGTGTTGTAATATTGTCTGTATATCTAACTTCATGCCACGAATCACAGTCGAAAAACCTGCTCTTTCGCAACCCGGATATAGCAAACGGCGAGACCGAGCCTATGATCGTGCATAGAGACGAGTAAGTCATCTACCTGGTCCATCCCTTCTCTCGGCATCGCGTTCGGTTTGAAGAATGAAGCGCTGACAAGTAGCAAATGAATAGTGGCAAGGCGGACATGGGTATCGACGGCGTTTGGGGTCGGCGCGGTGTCACCATCAATAATGAATCCGAGTACCATCTCTAACTTAATGGCACTGTACTATTGCGGAGCGAATACTGTAAACTTTATCATGAGAAATCTGTATTGACTCAGGTTGTGTGGTGTTGGAATAGGTAGAGTAGAGACACATCAAATCAGTCCAGGCATTTACAAGAGTTTACAGACCCAGGAACGGCAATTTCCAGTGTGCCGTACTATATGTCTTGCTAATGCTGGGGAAAAAAATTGATACTTGACACAATCCGTGGTCACAAAGTAAAGCCATTTTATCTTGACGTCTTGAGCCAGGCACCAAAGTTAAACGATTACCTAGGCCAACAACTCGTGTCGAACAACATGAGAGCGCGAAGAAAGGAAAAGAAAAAAAAATATCTTCTCAGTTGTCGGTAGAGGGAATCGAACTCTCGTTTGCACGGCCACAACGTGCTGTACTGACCACTATACGATACCGACATAAAATTATCATAGTTGTAAACAAGCTTATAACTATCAACCCACGAGTCGGAATGTGTATGATGTGCGCTGCGCTAAGGCATGTAGCGCGCTTTCTATCGTGAAGGGCGGGCCGGTTCGTGGACTAGTCACAGTCGTCCCAGGTATACTTAAATATCCTCAAGCGCCAATTGGTACATGCAAGTTCGAGTCATGGGATGTCTTGGGATGTAAGGCATGAGTCAAGGTAGCTGTCGAAGATGATGACCAAGGCTATGAGACCACAGCATCCCCAACATGGTGCAGATTCACGCTACAAATTCAATTGTCAAGCATCAAGCTTCCTAGGATGCCTGACGAAGGTTTGCTACTACGAGTCACATACTACAGCTCAATTGGTTCAAGACATCATGATGTTTGTTCAGGCCAATTATATTTAAGAGGCACAGGATTGTACACTACCGAGCTTTTCTCTCTGTATTTCCCCTACACGCACCGTTTCTTAATCTCATCTCATCTCCTATTTCATGATCTCCAACCGCTTCATAGAATCCATTCAAGATTCAGAAAAAGTATCAAAGAAAGAAAAAAGTGTGGCGAGGGCCAACAACAAGTATGTTGAAATGAAAACGTGTGGTCAAAAGCCCAGAGATCCCCCCGCAGTTCGCGAGTGGACGATATCTCGTTCATTTTTCCGGCATGGTAGTGTGATTGGTATCCTCTTTCGTTCGCAAGATGACGCAAATCATCCTCGGCCGGCGAGTCTCAACAACAGGGTATCTCAACAACGCGAAGGCACATAAAAGGATGTAGCAAAAACGCCGAAAAATGTAAAGTGCCTCCGTTTGCCCCTGTCCTTAAAGGGCAGGGGCCATGTGAAAAAAGGGGTGGTAGAAGTGAAGAAGAAAGGAATCGACCAGCCAGCAGCGTGCGCGCCTGCTCTGCTCGCGAGTGGTAGGTGACTTGACTCAAACATCATGGCAAGGTGAGGGTTTCGGAGGTGAGCCTGCCTCCGATTCAAAGTCAAACGCCATGTATTTGGTCTGAAGTCGCATAAGGATGACACTCGTGGTTATTGCTGTTTCATTGAAACATTAAGGACAAATTCGGAATAACACCAAATGCCTCAACACCATTTCAAAAAGGTTGAAAAATAAGGTTATCGAGACAGTCAACTGGTGATTATCTGGGCCATAAGCTTGAGAAGTGAAAGAGGTATCTTATGAGGTTTTCGCGTTACATGTCGTAGCCGTAAATTCAGGATGTCGTAGGGTGGTCCATCCGGTCGCTTGTGAGTATAACTGACAGCGCACGGTTGGGTGGACGTTTGGTTTTGATGAAGGTAATGATGAGTAATGATGATCGCATCGACGATTTCGACATGGAGAGTTGCTTTTTCTTTTTCTTATACGTGACTTGTACGCAGTTCGCTTCGGGGCCGCGAACAATTGCACCCAGTGAAGCCAGTTGCGCTCTCTATAAGATAGCAGCCACGACCATACCGATCACGCCAGCGAAGCCGAAAGCGCTCAGCGAAGCGGCGCCACTACCGGGGCCGTTGTCGACAGGTGACGGGCTTGCGGTGGGCGACGCGGTAACAGAGTCAGAGTCGGAGCCGGATTGGGTAGGCGTGGCGGTGACCTGAGTGATGGACGAAAGACCGGTGCCTGTGCCAATGGGCTGGTGGAGAGACGAGGTCGCGTTCGCGCTCGTGTAGACGCTCGAGGTGGCGACCCTGGAGATGGTGACATACTTGGTCATGGTCATTGTCGATGTCAGGGTCTCATCTTGGGCGACGGCCAACAAGGGCAGGAGCGCGGTTGCGACGAGTGTGGTGAGCTGCATTTTGATGGTTGTTGTTGATAGATCAGACGGGATAGCGGTTTCTTGAGTATCCAGTTGTCCTCGTGGTGTATAAAGACGGATAGACGCGATGCGACTTATGCGCTTCGAAGTTCAAATGACGATGTGGGAGTTCGCGGTTGGTATGCGACCAGTCGGCTTGTTGATGTGTTCCTAAAGAGTGTGGGTGGAATACGCGGTATTCGGGATACAAGTGGTATCTTATGTCGTAAGAGTGTTCGTTGAGGTCGTAAGATGGTGCGAGCGAGAGAGAGAGAGAGAGAGACTTTGCCAACGAAGTCCGGGTGTTTCAGAAACGAAACGAGTGTCTGTGGGTGGTGGAAGTGAAAGAGGGCGCGAGGCTAGAGAGAAAGACGCGAGGGAGGAAGAAGGACGGAGTGTAATAGGCGGCGGAATCGAGGGGAGACAAGGGGTGGGGCTCCTCCTCGGGAGGTACCACGGGCGTCGGGTACCTGACAGCCACGATCTCTGGGGGAACGTGGGCGGTCCTGCCCTGGGCACTCTTGCGCGCATCGCGAAATGAGCAATGCCGGGGCGCGACCGGGGTGGCCCCAGGGCACTTTTTGCCCATAAAGGCACTACGGAGTCCGAACAAGCACCCCCATTGGTGTGCCTGGCACTAGCTTGTCTCTGATCCCTGCCACGGATCCCTGCATGGAGGGTGCCTTTTTTATGTCAGCAATATTGATGCGCTTTTCTTATTCGCCCATCATCGTCATGGGCTTTGTCTGCCGTTTGATTAACGAGCCGCTGTCGCCCTTTGCGACGGAACAAGGGCCGCAGTGAGCTCTTTGTTCTCGTCGGTCACACAGCGCTACATCCTGCTCCGCACAACGGGAAAAAATTGAGAATTTTTCAATCTATCAACGTGTTCGTACTTCGCACCATCCCCGCTGACCTACCTAAGGGTTAGGTACCTTTTTTTGTCCGTGTCATGCGATCATGTGTCGGTTGCCCAACGCAATGCTGCCTTGCTTCATCCTTTAGTAGCGCATCTTGGATATCTATGCAAACTCACGATATCCAGACCACCTACGATGCTTCCCCATAGTCACTGCTGGTTGACAGGCGAGGTGACCCTGGAGATCTGCTCTTCAGGCACAGCTTGGGCCACCGGAAATTACGAAATTACACCATATACCCCATGTATGTCTGGGTGTCTCGTGGGTGAAAGCCTGCGAGGGCCTGTTCAAAACCCGCTTTTTGGCCCTTCGGCTTAGTGTAGCACGGTACGAGCACATACCACCGGCCCTAGCTAGCATCGATAGTACTATTGAACCCCGTCGAGTCTGCCAGAAGAAGTCTGCCGGGTGCTGGGCTGATGCCATTCGGAACCATACCCCTGGCTAGGCGCACGATGCAGCCATACCCATTCATGACGCTGAGACGACAGGGACTGCTTAGCCAAACATTCGGCGCAAGCATAGGGAGTTATGCTAAAATAGGTACAGAGCATTGACCAGGACGCCACCGAAGCATAGGAACAAAGCATGCCTTCCTTTGTGCCTCAGCTGTCGGTTAAGAGGGTTTTTTTTCTTAGCCTCTAGGCGTCCCGGCTCAGGCCGAAATAATTTGTGTACACGCTTTCCACTTCAAATCGAATTTTGCATTGGTACCGTAACTCCAACCGCCAAAACTGGACCGCTAATTTGCACAATGTCGGCTTCCTATCTGTACTTGCTTGCGCGATATAGGGTACACGCAGGGAATTTATTGCTCAATGCAGCAGGTCCTGTCTGGTTGGTGGACTAAGGAAGTTATAGAACCTTTGGCGACATTCTATGGTTCTTCAATGCTACTACTCCACACTCTTCTCTGTACTACAGGCCTTGGCACGGTACCTAAGAGCAGCCTAAGATCATGTAGGGCTAAGCAGCTCTCATCTCGTCAGAACTGGCCATCAACTAACATTTTGCGGAGAGAGCGCTTGTCTCGAATCGGGTGCCCATTTACCAGTCTCCGTAGCAATTTGACGATGCCCTCGCTCCCTCACTCCCTCGCTATCCGATATCTGCGTACCAGAATTGATTACTGCTGCCGTCATGCCAATCGCAATAATTGAACTCCAATCAGATTACATAGTTGCGCTTGCAACTTCCGTGCGACCTATCTATGCAAGGCCGCTGCAGTCTCGTGGCCCGGCATTAAATTTGGTTTCCTGCAGGCCGCCTTGCCCGTCAGCTCTGTCAGCGTGTCACACACAGCGAGGTCCACGAAGTCCACGTTGCAAACTTTTCTGTCTCCCCACCCGCTGGTTTGCTCGTCCTACCTACCTCCTAGTACCTCAGCTACACCGACAAAGGGAGGGTGCCTAATGTTATGGGCAATTCGTGTGGCTTCCCACAGGCGAATATGAACTGTACCATTCAACGCCCACCACGTTCCACGAACCTGAGTTTAACGGTGAGCGGTCCAGGGCTTTCCTGCGTTGTGGCCATTTCGTCACCGCGCAATGACTTTGATCACAAGACGTGTGTTCGTGCTATTACACCCACTATCTTTCGGTCCATTCTTTGCACCATCCCTTTACCGCCGGCCCTAGCAAGCCGCTATGGTGTATATACTTGCGGGGAGAACAGGATCGCGGGCCAATGCGCTCTGTCGCCGCTCGAAAAGCAACTTATTAAACCCCAAAGCTTCAATATTGGGCCAGTCCAAACTCTACGCTTCCCATAGGTACAGTAGTACCTGGGTACCTTGAGTTCCCCCTAGCAACCAGAGCAAGCGGCCTCTTTTCTCTTCAGGACCGCTTTTGCCCTATATCGTGACATCTTAATGGGCGCTATTAGCACGTTTCATCTCAGCCACAACGACCGACCACCCTGGCCTTGTGGCCCTGAATACCTGCAAATTTCATGTTGCAGAAAAGAGGCGCCTAATGGAGCCAGCCAGGTTGGCCTGGGCGTTAACATGGCCCATTAGTCGCCCGATTAGTGTATGCTGCCCGTGAGCAATTGTGTCAGGCGCCGCCGACCTGAGGCATGAATCTTTGGCCCGCACTTTCGGGTCACCCCATCAACGCGCGAGTCATATTTCACCGGATTGATCGAACCTAAGCGAAGACTATCGTTGATTCTAGCGTACGATTGCGCGAGAATACACGCCGGGTCGCCAGTGAGATGAAAATTCAGCCCAGTGACTAATACATACGTACTTAG